GAACCTGTGACCTTCTTGCTGAGAGGCATCAGCTCTACCAACTGAGCCACCGTGCCGCCCACATTAGTAGATGAAAAAATGAAGAGACTGCATGAGAGAGTTAGGCATTGTTTATTCCAAAATATAAAGCTCTAAGGCAAAACAGACAAGAAAACAGTGAACAACGCTTCATAAAAAGCAAGACAAACCCAAGTGAAAAACAAAACAGCGAGGCCACATCAAAAAAGTCTCAGGAGGGTTACAAACCAGATTACTGCAGCTGTTGTCCAATATGGCAAAGATTTCAACAACAGGCACCTTGATTTGTGCAGTAAGAAATGTCTTGAAGAGATTTCATATCTTTCATTACGTATGTGTGTGTAGTGACAGGTGGAGCTTCATCCCAGTTCTTTATTCATGTTCATGTTCATGAACACTGAATCTACCTGTCCACTAGTTATTTTCCACACAGTAAGATAATATGTACATAATAATTAAACCTGGATGTGTGCAAAATGTCAATTGCTTCCTGTTTGTGATATACAGGTGCTGGTCATAAAATTAGAATATCATAAAAAACGTGATTTATTTCAGTAATTCCATTCAAGTGAAACTTGTATATTATATTCATTCATTACTCACAAACTGATATATTTCAAAAGTTTATTTCTTTTAATATTGATGATTACAACTGATAACTAATGAAAATCCCTAATTCAGTATCTCATAAAATTAGAATATTGTAAAAACTTTAAATATTGAAGACACCTGGTGTGCCACACTCTAATCAGCTAATTACCTCAAAACTTCTGCCTTTAAGTGGTCTCTCAGTTTAGTTCTGTAGGCTACACAATCTTGGGGAAGAATGCTGACTTGGCAGTTGTCCAAGAGACGACCATCGGCACCTTGCACAAGGAGGACAAATTAGAATATTAATTAAAACCAACACAAAGAAGGAATTTTTTAAAGAAATTTTGGCCAACTGCAAAGTATGAGCATATACGGGGCTCAATACTTAGTTGGAGCTCCTTTTGCCTGGATTATTGCTGCAATGCGCTGTGGCATGAAGTCAATTAGACAGAGACCATTTAAAGGCCTTTGCAGGTGGATTGAGTTAATTAGCTGATTAGAGTGTGGCACCAGGTGTCTTCAATATTGAACCTTTACACAATATTCTAATTTTATGAGATACTGAATTTGGAGTTCTCTTTAATTTTCAGTTATAATCAATATCAAGAAAAACATTTGAAATATATCATCATGTGAGTAATGAATGAATATAATATACAAGTTTAACTTTTTGAATGGAATTACTGAAATAAACTTTTTTTTATGATATTCTAATTTTATGACCAGCACCTGTAATCCACTCTGGAGCCTGTGATTGTGTTATTAGCATAGTGTTCTGAATTGTGCATGGAGATGAAATGATTTGAAGGCGTGATGTATGCTGTACACGGCTGGATCGGATTCTTTTTTCAGGTTACGGCTAAGTGTCAGCACACAAACTGAAAGTATTAATCTTTACAACAGCTTTGTGCAGTTTAGTGTCTCCTTGACCAATTTCATCATGGGTCAGATGTTTGTGCTTCGTGCCAAGAAGTCTTTATAAAAGAACATAAATTTTAACCTTGTTAGTACTAGAAGTTTAAAACCAATTTATATAGCAATTTGCATCAGCATTCAAATTTTTTTGCCATTTTTAAAAAACTTCAAAGAACCCTGAAAAACAGGGTTCTTTATTTTAATTAGGAATCTGTACATACATATTCCTTACAAAAACAGAGCACAAAAAAGAAAACAAAACACTCATTTCATGTTTAAATAGAAAAATAAGCATCTCTACATTTTTTCTCTCCATGAGAGCTCAACGGAGCCTCTGAAGGCCTTTGACAGAGCCGTGGAGTCGACTGGAAGAGTGTGCACATCTACTTAAAACACAGGCATGCAAAAAGTGAAGACAATCCATTACGTATACAACTTCCAAATGTTGGCATCCAAAATGAAATCTGAATTCAAATGGGAATGGGGACCAAGGGCCAAACAAAGCAAAAACTTTCAGTCAATATTTATTAACGGAACATACAAATTTGTTTCTGGTGTTCTTAACACATCTTTTTATTTCTTCTATTTTATGTTTTTGGGCTTAAATATACAAAAAGTGCACTCACCTACATGAATAAACTCATTATAAAACAGTTTGTTTCGGAAGTGAAACTCCTGACTTATGCAACGCAGACTGCAGGTTGGAAGAGAGCAGGACTGCTGGGGACGTCCTGAACAATAATGCTCAATGGAAACTAAATATGTCTGCATTGAGTACATCCATTTAAACACTTCATGCATTTGTGAGGAGGGATGTCCTACTGCAACGAGTCGCTGTTGTCCAGGCCCAGCCTGGTCATGTCTGCATCATCATCTTCATCTCCGCTGTCTCCTGACTCATCTTCACTGTGGCCTCCCAGCATCACCTGCTGCACCGCCAGCGTGGCTCCGTCTGAGGTCAGACTCTGCAGACCTTCCATGTTCATTGTCACCATGGTACCTTAGAAAAAGACATACAAAGTCTGACAAGTCAACTCCAGACAGAGGTGATTTGGAGAAGAATATGGACAACGTGTTATAAGATTCATAGAAGCATGCTTCAAATGTTAATGTGGGATTTCCTTCTAACAGCTGAACAGTGCTTTATGTCTGCTGCTCTTGTTGTCTTCAGTGTGTATGATGTTGAATCATCAGATTTGTGTCAGTGTTTTATGTAACTACGATAAAAGTCAAACACACTGCCATKTCAGTTTGGGAAAATTAAAGGCAGTTCAATTACAGTTTGTGTTGCTGTTCCAAAAATATTGTAAAACCAAACAAAAAAGTAATCAAAATTCACTGTGAGTATATAGTATAACTATAGCACCAATGATGCACAACATTCTTGTAATAAAACTGCAAATTTCGAACACTTGCAACCTGACGAGAGAATATTCTGTAACACTGGTTCAATGATTTTGAGTGGAAAAATGAGAAGGCCTCTTCTAGATCCGGCAATTATTTTATCATCATCCATCCATTAATCTTCTACTTTTTCTCAGTGGTCTTYGCAAAGAGGTAACAGGCCCAGGATGTAAACCCAAGACAGCATGCACTTAAGTTCTATTTCTTCAGCTTGGCAGCTTTGGTTGCTATTGTGAGAGGCACCAATGACTTTCAGGTCACAACTCCTGGAGAACACATCTGCAAGACAGGAACACAGCCCATTTGGATTCAATGGGTCTCATGCAAGAACCGTTCGTACGCACAGATTTGTTAAGTTGTGCGTACGAGTGATTTAGGAGAATTTGTGGCATTCACCAATGTTTTCGTATTCTAAGATTTTTTTCAGAAATGAACAAAATTTACGAGTGGTCCAGACCTGTCGTATATTTTACCAGCAGTCAGTCAGACGTATTTTTCTCATTAATAATGTCC